CTCTCTCTCTCTCTCTCTCTCTCTCCCCCTCTCAAACAGACACACACCCACCACACACACTTGTTCCCGGCACCGCACCCGTATTGATCTCTTCACGCGCTGCCACCTTCCTGTGCCACAGACATTGACCGACGCACGTCCTCCGCCGGCCCTCTCTCTCATTCTCTTCATTTCTTCCGTACGTTGCTCATTCATTCATTCATTCATTCATTCGAAAAAAATTTTTGCGTGCTTTCTTGAATTCGTCACTGACCAGTTACAACCTTTTGAATTAGATTGTCTTTCCGCTATTGAAACAAGTTTATCGTAGTCTTGAGTTCTTCGTCAGACGTATCCGTAACAGTAACACAGTTGGACATTGCGATAACATGTTTTAAACGAAGTTTTATAAACATCAGCGTTAGTGAGAAGGCAGGAATCAACTAAATATGTTTTTAATATATTGTTAAACACGATTAAGTGAGTGAATATTCAGTGCTTGCTTTCTATATTAATTGATAAAGCATTACTGATATAACTTCTTAAACTACTCTAATTGCCAACGTTATCGCCTCAAAATTGAGGCACCTTCAGTTCTCATCAAGTGACAAGTGGATGCCTGTGGTAGTTATGTAGTCCTTGGATAGCGTGCACAGTGAGCCACAATGTGACCTACCCCTGCATAGTTTCTCTCAGGATTACGAATGTCCACGACAAGATCACGCCAGAGAGGAAGAGGGAATATACTCCGACCGCCTCTTGTTTAATGTGGATCCATTGCAGCCAACGATACGACAGAGGACAACTGCGCTTCGTCTGTGTGTTGCTTGCATCGTTCTGCATAGATTTTGTGAAAAAAAACCTTTCCAAATTAGTCTAAGGATTTATTGTGGAGGGAATAATATTTTACTTGAAAGAAGACAGCATAATCATCAACGAGAGAATTCAAGTACATCAAATCAAAGGTGTGGATGTGTATGATACCTACCTAACTGAGTGATTCCGTAACATTGGGATTTTGCTGAAAAAGATTTGAAGTTTCAGTGAGTATTAATCTGCAATAAGATACAGATGTTTCCAAACACCACAGTGATGGTTTTCTTTTCGTCTGCCCAGCTTTTTTTCTGTGCCCTCTATACAGATGCTATGCCATTTTGTGTTCCTTTTCTCAGGTCTTGAGTGTTAATTAATCTCTTTTATACACCCTTCCTTCCTTTCTCTTCATGTTTCAACTTTATCTTGGCACCATACGCAATAGATAATAAAGACCGTAACACTTTCATATTATATCTTTTCTTTTCATGAAATCATATTTCTGTTTTTAGTAAGGAGTACAAAAAATGGAGCCCGTGGCGTAAACGAACTATCCCCCTGAAAAGGAAAAGGCAGATAGTTATTGCCTAAACTTATAGTGTGTTCTGTGGGCGCTTTGTACGTTTTTGTAGTAAAAGTTTGTATCGTGAAGCTCTAAGAAGTTGATAGAGAACTTTGATGCTGAATGAAATCACGGCACTCGTGTCTAACGTTTGATGTCTATAAACACCCCCCCCCCCCTCTTTTTCATCTCAAATACACATACAAACTGATAAATCCAATAATAGCTCCACTGAGATGGACATTCGGTATTTATATCCAAACGAAATGAAAGAAACTTTAGTACTGACTGGGAACAGTATGCTTCTTCCTTAACCCCCCCCCCTTCCCCAGTTACACCCAAAAGGTACAGGGTATTGATGCTCCTCATTCGGGATACGTCAGTTTCTGGCACGTTTGTGATCTCAATTATTTATGAAGTACGCCTGAAAGTACAATTCTAACATTCAGTACGAAGAAGAATTTTGTTGAAGTGCCCCTCCCCCCACCTTCTCTCTCTCTCTCTCTTTCTCTCTCTCTCTCTCTC